GATTAATTTTCCAGGGTTTTGAAGTCTAATACCAAGCATCTCTTTAATACTAAAACCATCAAAAGCAGTCAAAATGAACCATTCGTAATTTCCAATAAAAATTGTTAGAAATTTAGAAATTTAATATTCTATGAGAGAATGAATAAACGCTTATTTCGATTGCATTATACATTTTCTCACGAATCTATCGTTTTTACGTTCTCATTGCAATTACTATATTGGTCTCTTAACACTTTACCGACCGGTAGCGGTTGATTAATCGGCTATCGGTCGGTAAGCGTTGGTCGGTAAAAAAGTTGATTAATACGCTATCGGTCGGTAAGTGTTGGCCGGTAAAACAGTCGATTGATAGGCTATCGGTCGGTAATGTGTTAATTATACGAGCAACGTAGATTAATTTTCCAGGGTTTTGAAGTCTAATACCAAGCATCTCTTTAATACTAAAACCATCAAAAGCAGTCAAAATGAACCATTCGTAATTTCCAATAAAAATTGTTAGAAATTTAGAAATTTAATATTCTATGAGAGAATGAATAAACGCTTATTTCTATTGCATTATAGATTTTTTCACGAATCTATCGTTTTACGTTCTCGTGGCAATTACTATATTGGTCTCTTAACACTTTACCGACCGGTAGCGGTTGATTAATCGGCTATCGGTCGGTAAGCGTTGGTCGGTAAAACAGTCGATTAATACGCTATCGGTCGGTAAGTGTTGGCCGGTAAAACAGTCGATTGATAGGCTATCGGTCGGTAATGTGTTAATTATACGAGCAACGTAGATTAATTTTCCAGGGTTTTGAAGTCTAATACCAAGCATCTCTTTAATACTAAAACCATCAAAAGCAGTCAAAATGAACCATTCGTAATTTCCAATAAAAATTGTTAGAAATTTAGAAATTTAATATTCTATGAGAGAATGAATAAACGCTTATTTCGATTGCATTATACATTTTCTCACGAATCTATCGTTTTTACGTTCTCATTGCAATTACTATATTGGTCTCTTAACACTTTACCGACCGGTAGCGGTTGATTAATCGGCTATCGGTCGGTAAGCGTTGGTCGGTAAAAAAGTTGATTAATACGCTATCGGTCGGTAAGTGTTGGCCGGTAAAACAGTCGATTGATAGGCTATCGGTCGGTAATGTGTTAATTATACGAGCAACGTAGATTAATTCTTCAGGGTTTCAAAGTCTAATACCAAGCAACTCTTTAACACTAAAACTATCAAAGCAGTCAAAATGATCCATTCATAATTTCCAATCAAAATTGTTAGAAATTTAGAAATTTAATATTCTATGAGAGAATGAATAAACGCTTATTTCGATTGCATTATACATTTTCTCACGAATCTATCGTTTTTACGTTCTCATTGCAATTACTATATTGGTCTCTTAACACTTTACCGACCGGTAGCGGTTGATTAATCGGCTATCGGTCGGTAAGCGTTGGTCGGTAAAACAGTCGATTAATACGCTATCGGTCGGTAAGTGTTGGCCGGTAAAACAGTCGATTGATAGGCTATCGGTCGGTAATGTGTTAATTATACGAGCAACGTAGATTAATTCTTCAGGGTTTCAAAGTCTAATACCAAGCATCTCTTTAACACTAAAACCATCAAAAGCAGTCAAAATGAACCATTCGTAATTTCCAATAAAAATTGTTACAAATTTAGAAATTTAGTACTCTATGAGAGAATGAATAAACACTTATTTCTATTGCATTATAGATTTTTTCAAGAATCTCCCGTTTTACTGTCTTTGGTACAAATTGGTAGTTTTAGTGTTAAAAAGTACCTAATAATAAATTTCGCTGGGAAAAGTAAACGTTTCTGCATGGTCTCGAGTATCTTTTTTACAGACTAGACATTTATTTAAATATTCCTGGGGATGAAACGAAGTGTGTATCTTGCTTTAATTGTTTCATTGTGAAACTTCTTGGACCAAACATGACTCAACTTGGACGATTTTTATCCCCCAGATGCTTACGATGCTACTCTGTTGTGTAAACTGTGTATCGGACAAATATTGTTTCAGGCGATGGCGGGGCAAACGAACATGAACGAGGACCCAAATTGTCCTCGTGTATCATACCGTTAAAAAAATTTCTGTACCATAAACAACGACGAAATTACTCAATAGATTAGTTTCTGAATTTTTCCGTTGTTTTAGTTTTAAAATATATTTGGACAAAAGTTAAAAGATTGCAGCTTTTTTAAATTGACATTTTCAGGAATTGAATTCGTCTTTTATATTCCAACAGAATTTTGCAACGCGTTAGGTGGCCAAGAACGCACGTTAGCGAAATAATTTATTTCTCAGCTAAACGTAGGATGAAACTTCGCAGGATATACATCAGCTCCGACCACTTCGCTCTGGTTTTTTTAGTCGACCTCGGGAACCGCCCGCGCGAGCAAAAAATATAAAATTAGAATTTGATATTCGCGTTTGTTAAACATACGAAAAGCGACAAAGCCGGTAGAAAAGTATTCGCGAGTCGATTTGTAGCGAATTGTGCAACAGAATTTGTACATTTTTTGATACAATTTGAATGAAGCAAACGTCAAGATGGCGACGCACACTGATACACTTGATCAAAATTCAGAAATAATTTGGAGCAAACATTTAAGAAATTTTTCAAGTATATTAGTTATTAATTTACTGATTGTCTTTGATTTTTTTCTGTGTTGTTATTACTTAATAGATAGTAAAGCAAATTTTCTGTAAACATAACCTCTAAAGTATAAATGAGAGCAAGATGCAATTATTTAATAAATTTTTCAAGTATTTTAGTTATTATTTTACTCATTTTCTTTCATTCTCTTCTGTATTGTTATTACTTAATAAATAGTCAAGTAAATTTTCTGGAAACATAACCTCTAAAGTATAAATGAGAGCAAGATGCAATTATTTAATGAATTTTTCAAGCATCTTAGTTATTAATTTCATGATTTTCTTTATTTTCTGTAAACATAACCTCTAAACTACACATGAGAGCAAGATGCAATCATTTAACAAATTTTTCAAGTATTTTAGTTATTATTTTACAGATTTTCTTTGATTCTCTTCTGTGTTAATACTACATAATAAATAGTAAAGCACATTTTCTGTAAACATAACCTCTAAACCTCTAAACTATACATGAGAGCAAGATGCAATCGTTTAACAAATTTTTCAAGCATCTTAGTTATTAATTTACTGATTTTCTTTCATTCTCTTCTGGGTTAATACTACTTAATAAATAGGAAAGCATATTTTCTGTAAACATAACCTCTAAACTACACATGAGAGCAAGATGCAATCATTTAATAAATTTTTCAAGTATTTCAGTTATTGCTTTAATGATTTTCTTTGATTCTCTTCTGTGTTATTACTTACTAAATAGTCAAGTAAATTTTCTGGAAACATAACCTCTCCATCGATTTGCATTTTGCTCGAAGTGAGCAAAGATACCATCCTCGATTACTTGAATCAATGTTTGAAGTACCAACGAAACGTCAGCCATCTTGTTCCCCACCGAGAATTCCCAATAGACGCGTCAATAATCATTAAATATTAGTTATTAGATAATGATAGTCAGAGAAATGAAATATGATACGTATTACTTAATAAAAAATCAAGAAAATTCTCTGTAAACGTAGAGAAAGATGCAATATAATCTTCGAATCGATGTTAGAAGTACCAACGAAACGTCAGCCATCTTGTCCTCCATCGAGAATTCCCATGTACACTCGTTAATAGTCATTAAATATTAGTTATTAGTAGACTGGGGATGTTTATGCATTTATGGGAAATTTTAATCCTCAAAAAAACTACAGAATGCATTTAATATGCAAAAATATAAGAAATACTTAAAGTAAGATACGAATTATTATATTTAGGGGTTCAGACAGATCTCTGCGAAGCTTCCGTTTCATTAATTCTCTTAATAAAAATGTGAATTTGCATAAAGTTCCGCAGTGTAGTTATTAGATAATGATAGTCAGAGAAATTAAATATGATACGTATTACTTAATAAAAAATCAAGAAAATTCTCTGTAAACGTAGAGAAAAATACAATAAAATCCTCGATTACTCGAATCAATGTTAAAATTACCAACGAAACGTCAGCCATCTTGTTCCCCATCGAGAATTCCCAATAGACGCGTTAATAATCATTAAATATTAGTCATTAAAGAATAATAGTCAGAGAAATGAAATATGATACGTATTACTTAATAAAAAATCAAGAAAATTCTCTGTAAATGTAGAGAAAGATGCAATAAAATCCTCGAATCGATGTTAGAAGTACCAACGAAACGTCAGCCATCTTGTTCCCCATTGAGAAATCCCAATAGATGCGTCAATAATCATTAAATATTAGTTATTAGATAATCATAGGAAGAAAAATGAAATATGATACGTGCTACTTAATAAAAAATCAAGAAAATTCTCTGTAAACGTAGAGAAAGATACAATAAAATCCTCGAATCGATGTTGGAAATACCAACGAATGGTCAGCCATCTTGTGCCCCATCCAGGAACCCCAATACACTCGTTAATAATCATTGAATATTAGTTATTAGATAATCATAGGAGGAAAAATGAAATATGATACGTATCACATAATAAAAAATCAAGAAAATATTCTGTAAACGTAGAGAAAGATGCAATATAATCCTCGATTACTCGAATCAATGTTAAAATTACCAACTAAACGTCAGCCATCTTGTGCCCCATCGAGAATTCCCAATACACGCGTTAATAATCATTAAATATTAGTTATTAGATAATCATAAGAAGAGAAATAAAATATGATACGTGCTACTTAATAAAAAATCGAGAAAATATTCTGTAAACGTAGAGAAAGATGCAATAAAATCCTCGAATCCATATTAGAGGTACCAAACGTCAGCCATCTTGATCTCCATCGAGGAACCCCAACACACGCGTTAATAATCATTAAGTATTAGTTATTTGATAACCATAGTTATAAAAATGAAGTACCATGATACGTACCAAGCAACGAAGAGTAATTTCCAAAGTGAACCACGCGTTGCACGCGTGCTCGAGGTAGAACAGTACCGGATAAGAGTGATGGCAATCCGCTTCCGGCTGCAACAGTTCCCTGAACTGTTGGTCGTCCCGCGAACGTTTCAGCGTCGTGTGGCTCTTGAGGCAGAAGCAGAGGACCGAGAGGCAGATGAAGAGTATCGATACGCAGCCTATGCATTTCGCCGTGACGGAGGAATACGGCTCGTCGAACAGTGCCCAGATCCTCGGCCGTAGCTTCTGCCATTTTGACAAGATCCCTCTGTTGTACGCCTCCTCGAGGCCGTAGAGCCGCGCGATTTCCTCCTCGCTCAGCTTCTCCCCCTCCACGTCCAGCTTATCGAGGATTGCCAGCGTCGCCTGAGTGTCCCTGTGAATGCTATAAGTGCTCCAACAGCATGGCTCCACCTGCATTCACGTTTTTATTGAAAATATTAGCAAACATCGGGGCAATCTCCCGTCGTTCGAATAAACGCTCGGGAATCACAGAGATATTTCCCATTCAAACTTTCTTTCAACCCCTCGAGGGTGCTTTCTATAGACCTTAAAGCAGATCGATATTTTTTATATCAATTAAAATATTTATGGAGTCTTTTGTATGCAGTACGATTTCATTCGACTCTGAATTAATCTGCAAATTTTTATCAATATAAATTAACGAAATGGGAGCTTCGTAGAGGGTTCAATCTCTAAGTATCACAATTCTAGCAGCTCTGTCTCAGTTACAAACAGATTGTCAATAGAGCGCTTGCGAGAGAGACGAGATCGTGGCCCTCTGGCGGCGAGTACGCGAGACTCGTCCTGTTTCTCACATTTTCGCGTATTGAGTGGACTCCGTAGCTCTTTTTGGAATTAAAATTTCCCCGTAAAAGCGTGACGTTGACAGTTTGATCCTCGATGGTGTCCGCAAGTATTAACAAGAATAATTCTCGGGTGTTTACGTAATCCTCGTAACGAAAATTCATGCTCCACGTTGTACTAATAAACGTAGTACCCTCCATTAAAATTCCGGAAGATCTTGTATAATGAATTACGATTCGCAACGGATGAACCCGTGAATTTATCATCGGGGCTGTTTCATTATGCGAGCGTTCCCCGGGGATCTCGTTATTTTTGTCAACGTCGATACCTTTTCCGAACGGGAAAAACAACCAGCGAAACCGCGATTCCCCGCAATCGTTGAGACGCCAATGCAATTTCGTCGGTTATTAGCGAACGATTACCGACCATAACGCTACCATAATTAGAACAAGAACACTTGGGATTTGCTATAGAAAATAGAGGAATAAAGGAGCCGGAAGACGCTGATTAATATTGATTAGAGTTAATTAATCGAGCACGAGAATTTAACGACGAACCGCGGGAAATAATTTCGAATTTTTTGTTCGATAAAATTACTCGTGAAAAATGATGCAACACGTGAATGTGAAAGTACGAGTATTTATATTTGAGGTAAAGTCTTTGTTATTTTTGTCTCGAGCAACGGTATTGTTTAAATACGAATTTCCACGAAAATTAACAAAATGGCCGAATATTTGAAATCCCCTGCAACTGACGCCCGCTGGAAACATAAAGTCCATCCGAATTCGAAATCAAAGGCAACAATATGACTTTGTGCAGCCGGACCTGTCGTCGAACAAACATTCCTAACCAGCTGATTCAGCGGCGGTCGTATGGTTTGTGCATTCCAAATCAGACATTTTACGCGGGATCAAAGCACAATCGCGGCCGCGATTCCAGTCGGAAAATTGACAAACAAACAGCCGTTAGTTGGGCGATATTGTTAACGCCGTCGCGAAATAATTCAGTAACGTTTCGAGATTGACGGAGGAACGATGTTTCGCGATAATTGTGATCGATGAAATGTACAGCGTGTACAGGGTGTTCGGCGAGCCCTGGGAAAAATTGTAATGGGGGATTTTAGAGGCCGAAATAAGACGAAAATAAAGAATACTAATTTGTTGATGGAGCCTTTGTTAAAAAGTTATTAACGTTCAAAGTTCCGTCAATGATGAATTTCTTTCTCGAAAATGCGCAAGATTTCGGGGGTATGTCTAATGATAAAAAATGATTGTAATTGACCCCCGCAATCGAAAATAATTTTTCCCGAATTATTTGAAATTTTTTTTCCCCCGTTGAAGAATTTTACAACTTCTCGAATTTTTTTCTAGGTAGTGGATGGGATTTCGAGGGTATGTCTATTCATAAAAAATGATTGTAATTGACCTCTGCAATCGGAAATAATTTTTTTAGAACAATTTAAAATATTTTTTTACTTCGAAAAATTTCACACCTTCTCGAATTTTTTTCTAGAAAATTGGTAGGATTTCGGGGATATGTCTATTCACAAAAAGTGATTGTAATTGACCCCCGAAACTAGAAATAATTTTTTTAGAATGATATGAAATTTTGTAGTTTTGTCGAAAAATTTCACACTTTCTCGAATTTTTTTCTCGAAACTGCGTAGGATTTCGGGGATATGCCTATTGACCAAAAATGATTGCAATTGTCCCCTGCAGCTAGAAATAATTTTTTTAGAACGATTTGAAATTTTTTAATTTTCTCGAAAAATTTCAAACTTTCTCAAATTTTTTTCTCGAAACTGCGTAGGATTTCGAGGGTATGTCCAATGATAAAAAATGATTGTAATTGACCCCAGCAACCGAAAATAATTTTTCCAGAATGATTTGAAATTTTTTAATTCAATTGTTAATAACTTTTTGACGAAGTCTCTTATTTGCTATAACGAGGCTCGTGCTTTCTACAATTTCTTGCAATTTTTACTCTAGCGACGTTTCATTTATAGTAGATTTATTTTAATACTCGATGTTGCCTCGATTCCTATTGTTTTTCAAAGATTAATGGAATAGAAATTCGATTGAAGCTTCCATTTGTTTCAAATAAAATTTTAAAAAATTTCTAGAGCGTCAGTGAAATTAAATCTCAAAATTCTTGCCTGTGCTATTAATTTATCAATAAAAATCAAAGAATTAATACAATGCAAATTCAATGAAAGCTTTTACTCTTTCCAAATTAAATTTTAAAAAATTTTTAGCATATAAATGAAATTAAATCCCAAATTTATCACCTCTGCTATTAATTTGCCAACAATTTTCAACGTTTTTTTATTTTAAACATCGTCTACAATGCTTATAATAAGTAATCAAAAAATTAATAAAATAAAAATTCAATCGAAGCTGTCCTTTTCAAATAAAATTTAAAAAAATCGTTAAATTATCAACGAAAGTAAATCCCACGGTTTTTGTCTATTTTATCAATCTACCAACAGCGTTCCAAGTTCGCAAAGTTCAAGGATCACTATAAGAGGCAAACCATAAGGTAGTAAAAATATAATTACGAAACCTGATTGGAGTCCAAGCCCCAAAAGTCGAGCTCCTCCTCGAACAGGGGTCCGCAAACGTCCGTGGGATAGTGAAGCTTCCCCGTGCGATAGTAATTCAACACTTGGGCGAAGACACCCGGATGACGGTCGTAAAAGTACTCGTTTAAAACTGGGTCGTAATTGACCAGGGCTTCCGTCAAACGCGATAATCTCGTGGCTGGTATTTTCTTGAGGGTAGACTTGTACGTTTCATGGCGTACGCCGCCAACGTTCAGAATCACTCTGTCGTTCCATCTGCCATCATCCATTCTCCTCATCCTTCTGGATTCCTTTGGATCGCATGGTAGAAGGAAACTTTCGATGTGCAACAAAAGTTTCCTGATTCCTGATTTCTACCTAAAAAAGACTGTAAAATAAAATAGAACAACTTTTCCCTAAAAAAAGAAACTCAAACAAACGAAAGATCGAGCGCTTACAAGAGAGTTGGCCCTCTGGTGGCAAATACAGGAAGCAATGGACTCCAGAATATCAAAGGCCACACTTTCCAATTTATATTTAAGAAATTATACACGTGAGGACTATGGTTTGTTTAAATTTGTGGAAAATTCATGAAAAGGATGAAACGAGAGTTGGGGAACAAAAGTTTCCCGATTTCTACCTAAAAAAGACTGTAAAATAAAAGAGAACAACTTTTCCCCTAAAAAAAGAGACTCAAACAAACGAAAGATCGAGCGCTTGCGAGAGAGTTGGCCCTCTGGTGGCAAATACAGGAAGCAATGGACTCGAGAATATCAAAGGCCACACTTTCCAATTTATATTTAAGAAATTACACACGTGGGGAGTATGGTTTTTTTAAATTTGTGGAAAATTCATGAAAAGGATGAAACGAGAGTTGGGGAACAAAAGTTTCCCGATTTCTACCTAAAAAAGACTGTAAAATAAAAGAGAACAACTTTTCCCCTAAAAAAAGAGACTCAAACAAACGAAAGATCGAGCGCTTGCGAGAGAGTTGGCCCTCTGGTGGCAAATACAGGAAGCAATGGACTCGAGAATATCAAAGGCCACACTTTCCAATTTATATTTAAGAAATTACACACGTGGGGAGTATGGTTTTTTTAAATTTGTGGAATATTCATGAAAAGGATGAAACGAGAGTTGGGGAACAAAAGTTTCCCGATTTCTACCTAAAAAAGACTGTAAAATAAAAGAGAACAACTTTTCCCCTAAAAAAAGAGACTAAAACAAACGAAAGATCGAGCGCTTGCGAGAGAGTTGGCCCTCTGGTGGCAAATACAGGAAGCAATGGACTCGAGAATATCAAAGGCCACACTTTCCAATTTATATTTAAGAAATTACACACGTGGGGAGTATGGTTTTTTTAAATTTGTGGAAAATTCATGAAAAGGATGAAACGAGAGTTGGGGAACAAAAGTTTCCCGATTTCTACCTAAAAAAGACTGTAAAATAAAAGAGAACAACTTTTCCCCTAAAAAAAGAGACTCAAACAAACGAAAGATCGAGCGCTTGCGAGAGAGTTGGCCCTCTGGTGGCAAATACAGGAAGCAATGGACTCGAGAATATCAAAGGCCACACTTTCCAATTTATATTTAAGAAATTACACACGTGGGGAGTATGGTTTTTTTAAATTTGTGGAATATTCATGAAAAGGATGAAACGAGAGTTGGGGAACAAAAGTTTCCCGATTTCTACCTAAAAAAGACTGTAAAATAAAAGAGAACAACTTTTCCCCTAAAAAAAGAGACTAAAACAAACGAAAGATCGAGCGCTTGCGAGAGAGTTGGCCCTCTGGTGGCAAATACAGGAAGCAATGGACTCGAGAATATCAAAGGCCACACTTTCCAATTTATATTTAAGAAATTACACACGTGGGGAGTATGGTTTTTTTAAATTTGTGGAAAATTCATGAAAAGGATGAAACGAGAGTTGGGGAACAAAAGTTTCCCGATTTCTACCTAAAAAAGACTGTAAAATAAAAGAGAACAACTTTTCCCCTAAAAAAAGAGACTCAAACAAACGAAAGATCGAGCGCTTGCGAGAGAGTTGGCCCTCTGGTGGCAAATACAGGAAGCAATGGACTCGAGAATATCAAAGGCCACACTTTCCAATTTATATTTAAGAAATTACACACGTGGGGAGTATGGTTTTTTTAAATTTGTGGAAAATTCATGAAAAGGATGAAACGAGAGTTGGGGAACAAAAGTTTCCCGATTTCTACCTAAAAAAGACTGTAAAATAAAAGAGAACAACTTTTCCCCTAAAAAAAGAGACTCAAACAAACGAAAGATCGAGCGCTTGCGAGAGAGTTGGCCCTCTGGTGGCAAATACAGGAAGCAATGGACTCGAGAACATCAAAGGTCACACTTTCCAATTTATATTTAAGAAATTACACACGTGGGGAGTATGGTTTTTTTAAATTTGTGGAAAATTCATGAAAAGGATGAAACGAGAGTTGGGGAACAAAAGTTTCCCGATTTCTACCTGAAAAAGACTGTAAAATAAAATAGAACAACTTTTCCCTAAAAAAAGAAACTCAAACAAACGAAAGATCGAGCGCTTGCGAGAGAGTTGGCCCTCTGGTGGCAAATACAGGAAGCAATGGACTCTAGAACATCAAAGGTCACACTTTCCAATTTATATTTAAGAAATTACACACGTGGGGAGTATGGTTTGTTTAAATTCGTGGAAAATTCATGAAAAGGATGAAACGAGAGTTGGGGAACAAAAGTTTCCCGATTTCTACCTAAAAAAGACTGTAAAATAAAAGAGAACAACTTTTCCCCTAAAAAAAGAGACTCAAACAAACGAAAGATCGAGCGCTTGCGAGAGAGTTGGCCCTCTGGTGGCAAATACAGGAAGCAATGGACTCTAGAACATCAAAGGTCACACTTTCCAATTTATATTTAAGAAATTACACACGTGGGGAGTATGGTTTGTTTAAATTCGTGGAAAATTCATGAAAAGGATGAAACGAGAGTTGGGGAACAAAAGTTTCCCGATTTCTACCTAAAAAAGACTGTAAAATAAAAGAGAACAACTTTTCCCCTAAAAAAAGAGACTCAAACAAACGAAAGATCGAGCGCTTGCGAGAGAGTTGGCCCTCTGGTGGCAAATACAGGAAGCAATGGACTCGAGAACATCAAAGGTCACACTTTCCAATTTATATTTAAGAAATTACACACGTGGGGAGTATGGTTTTTTTAAATTTGTGGAAAATTCATGAAAAGGATGAAACGAGAGTTGGGGAACAAAAGTTTCCCGATTTCTACCTGAAAAAGACTGTAAAATAAAATAGAACAACTTTTCCCTAAAAAAAGAAACTCAAACAAACGAAAGATCGAGCGCTTGCGAGAGAGTTGGCCCTCTGGTGGCAAATACAGGAAGCAATGGACTCTAGAACATCAAAGGTCACACTTTCCAATTTATATTTAAGAAATTACACACGTGGGGAGTATGGTTTTTTTAAATTTGTGGAAAATTCATGAAAAGGATGAAACGAGAGTTGGGGAACAAAAGTTTCCCGATTTCTACCTAAAAAAGACTGTAAAATAAAAGAGAACAACTTTTCCCCTAAAAAAAGAGACTCAAACAAACGAAAGATCGAGCGCTTGCGAGAGAGTTGGCCCTCTGGTGGCAAATACAGGAAGCAATGGACTCGAGAATATCAAAGGCCACACTTTCCAATTTATATTTAAGAAATTACACACGTGGGGAGTATGGTTTTTTTAAATTTGTGGAAAATTCATGAAAAGGATGAAACGAGAGTTGGGGAACAAAAGTTTCCCGATTTCTACCTAAAAAAGACTGTAAAATAAAAGAGAACAACTTTTCCCCTAAAAAAAGAGACTCAAACAAACGAAAGATCGAGCGCTTGCGAGAGAGTTGGCCCTCTGGTGGCAAATACAGGAAGCAATGGACTCGAGAATATCAAAGGCCACACTTTCCAATTTATATTTAAGAAATTACACACGTGGGGAGTATGGTTTTTTTAAATTTGTGGAATATTCATGAAAAGGATGAAACGAGAGTTGGGGAACAAAAGTTTCCCGATTTCTACCTAAAAAAGACTGTAAAATAAAAGAGAACAACTTTTCCCCTAAAAAAAGAGACTAAAACAAACGAAAGATCGAGCGCTTGCGAGAGAGTTGGCCCTCTGGTGGCAAATACAGGAAGCAATGGACTCCAGAATATCAAAGGTCACACTTTCCAATTTATATTTAAGAAATTACACACGTGGGGAGTATGGTTTGTTTAAATTTGTGGAAAATTCATGAAAAGGATGAAACGAGAGTTGGGGAACAAAAGTTTCCCGATTTCTACCTAAAAAAGACTGTAAAATAAAAGAGAACAACTTTTCCCCTAAAAAAAGAGACTCAAACAAACGAAAGATCGAGCGCTTGCGAGAGAGTTGGCCCTCTGGTGGCAAATACAGGAAGCAATGGACTCGAGAATATCAAAGGCCACACTTTCCAATTTATATTTAAGAAATTACACACGTGAGGAGTATGGTTTGTTTAAATTTGTGGAAAATTCATGAAAAGGATGAAACGAGAGTTGGGGAACAAAAGTTTCCCGATTTCTACCTGAAAAAGACTGTAAAATAAAATAGAACAACTTTTCCCCCAAAAAAAGAAAGTCAAACAAATGAAAGATCGAGCGCTTGCGAGAGAGTTGGCCCTCTGGTGGCAAATACAGGAAGCAATGGACTCTAGAACATCAAAGGTCACACTTTCCAATTTATATTTAAGAAATTACACACGTGGGGAGTATGGTTTTTTTAAATTTATGGAAAATTCATGAAAAGGATGAAACGAGAGTTGGGGGAACTCCGGAGTCTCGTAAACTGTCGAGTATCCGAGCAAACGGGTCAAATATCGTTCGGTTCTTTATCCGGCCGCGGAGCTTCATTAAATTCCGCGCGTAACAGTGTGGCTGTCAGGTTTGGTGCTCGGGAACTTTCGGTCGTTGAGAGTTTTTCGCCGGAAAGTAAGTTTACGCGCCATGATCGAGCACGTATGCAGGCGCATTGATAAAATTTGATACCCTCGCGAAGCTGTTTTCCCATTTTTTTATCGATGATTACGCGTAAATTTAGTTTTCATGGTCGGACGTTACGCCTGGAAACACGGTTTTTACGATGTTTTCGAACAACTCGGAGTTACGAGTTTGGTAACACTGAGACGCCCTGAGCAACGGTGATTGGAGAGAAATTATTACCGTGAGCATTTCGAGGGCTTCAAAGTAACAATTTCTCTGCCCAAAGTGCTTTTCTGTCTGTGCAGTGGCTGGTAAATAGCCT